AACAATTATTTTTAACAACAATTTTTTATTTCATTTATATCAATTTTTATGAAAATAAAAAAGCTAAGCTACTTAAGGACAAAAAGTGTGCTGCGCCGCGGCCAAAGTCGCGTAAATCTACTTGTCTGATAGCTGGGGGGGAGGGGGGGGGCAAGCTCTGAGACAAGTAGATTTAAAACTTTTTAACACTCGTCTTTAACAAATGAATTTTATCTGTGGTGTAAGAAAAGAACTTCAGTTGAATCTCTCCCAGCCACATCTCCACTCGGTCACGTCTTCCTGCTAGAGATGCGACATCGAACAGAAATCATCGATGCTCAAAATTTAAACACCGATATTAATAAAGAATCGATCTCAAACCTTCCAAGTTATTAAATATCGGTGTTTTTAAAACTGTATTAGTAACCATTGAAGTTCAAGGGAGGGAAGAGGAATTGGATTTAATGTGGTCTCATTTAATAATTTTTAATTGAGATTAAACTGATGAGAAAAAGTCAAAATATCATCAGGACAATTAACAAAACTTGGATTATCTCATTCAATAATTGAAAATATATAGCGGCTTCTCTATTGACGGTAAATCTTGTTTTATTTATTATTCATTTTCAGTCACTTCGGTCTGATTGAATTTCTAGAAATATGAAAATGATTATAGAAAGTTTTTATTATTGACTTTTTCCATTTAAAAATATAAACAACATTAAGGCATCCAAACACACAACATCGATGTTACAAAAACATCGGCTCTACAAAATAGACGATAAATACATTATGATTTTACAAACACTTGGATGTTGTGAAAACGTCGACATCGATTAGCGTTGTTATTTCCCGCACCCCACAGCCCTCTCACTCAGCCTAGCTCGGCCCCCTCCGTCCGACTACCCGCCACTACCTTGCCGTCCCAATTACGCTCCGCTCTCCCCGCTCTCTTTCTCCATCACCCAGTCCCCGCTCTCGCTCTCTACCTCGCTCCCGTCCCGTCACTTCCTTCCGTCTCGTCTCGTCGCTCTTCCAGCATCTCTTTCCGTCCGTGTCACGCTCTCCACCCGGCTTGCCCCCGCCACGCACGCTCTCCCGTTCCTGGCCCACCCTACCACACTGCCTCGTCCAGGCCTCGTTCGTGCCCAGTCTTTTGCCCACGTCCGCGATAGAACTGGGCCGAATTTTATGGTAGCGCGAAAGTGTGAATGCCGAATATCATCTAATTAACCCCAAAACTAAAACCATCTTTCAGAAGCCTCCTCGTCTTCATCCAAAAGAACGTAAGGAGTCGTTTTAACTTTAAGTATTTACCTGTTCTCCAAGTCTTCAATTGGCCCCTCAACCACTTCCTCTGGTGGTCTGAGGCTTCACAATAGGAACCAAACCCTAAGGGCTTGTCTAACATTTAAGGTAACTCTGTAAACATGTGGATCACAAACGTTGGGGTTGTTAAAGCAAGCAAGTATCACAACAAATTGAATAATTTGTTCGATTGCTGTCAAATTTCTCACGTAAACTTTTAGCATGCCAAAATCCAAGTACTTCAAAATGATGATTAAGTTATTACGCAAAAATAAAAAAGTTAACAATTTAGCGTTAATATTCATTGCTCATTCGAGACTGTGCAAACTTATAAAAACATGCCATTTTTAGGAAGTATCCCACTTGACTGTGGTGGAAGAGGAAATAGAAAGGAGAGAGGAGGCTCTGGCAGATGCTGAGGAGCAACTGGAACGACTTAAAGAAGAATTCAATAAGGAAAAGGCGCGTTTGCGTCAAATGGAAAAGCGATTGCGTTAGAACATGTTGTCATAAGGTGGCTGCTGGAAATGAATGGAGCAGTGACACGTGAAAATAAACATGGACCGAAAACATCAATGTAGCTACAATTTTATGTACAGATTTTCACACGTATGTCTGTCCAGATTCCTCCGCATACACGTCTTTAGGAACGTCCCAGATCTTTCAAGTAATATTTCACCCACTGACACATTGTAATCTCAAAGGCATCTTAAAATCAATGTTATTTAAACAGAATTTTGTGCAAATTAAAAATTAGTTTGCTCTAATTTCTAATTTCATTTATTTCCAACTAAAAACAGTGCAAGTTGTTTGTAAGGTATAGGGGAGAACAACTATCTGCGCTGATTTTTTTCAGCTTGTAAGTCCCTGTTTCTTTTACTGTTGAGTATCTGAACTATGAGTAAAGGTACAAACAAGCGGGGTTGGCAACAGTTGAAAAAGAGACAGGCGAAACCTAAGATATGGACATATAATTAATCCCATTTTAAAGGTATTTGATAGAATCCATTGAATCAAATCATTTGAAAGGTAGGTTACTTTTATTTAATTTTCCAATTTGATATCATTTTCATCGGTGTAAAAATTATGTTTTTCCAAAAACAAGGAAAATAGTTCAAACACTGAGGCTGTAAACATCTTAGATTTAAGTTATTACTTCACACACTCAGTATTCATTTAATAATTTTATAAATAAAGACAAATTTAAAAACTAGCTTTTCTCAAAAACTGTCCCAAATTGTTTCTTTAATATTTTTGTTCAGATAAAGCTAAATTCATTGAATTACACATCAGCAGCAGTTTAATCTATTCGTTTGAATTTTAAAAAATGTGAGTTTTTAACATATTTAAATAAATAAGTAAATAAATATCTCTTACGTTGTAAATGTTTATACGGCAATTATTTATACATTATTGCAAGTTCAAAACTATTTTGAAAAAATAAGCTGAAAATAACGCATTTTCGGAAACCCTACAAATCATATTTTCAAAAAAAGGCTCAAAATTTTATGAAGAAAATTTGCATACAAGAAAATTTTAATCAATATGTTCCATGTTGAATTTACAGGACTATTATATGGATTGAAAATCGAAGACAATATGAAAAAATGTACGTATTATTTATAAAACACTATTTTATCAATAAAAAACAGAAAGAAAACTAAATCATTGTCTGTTATATGTCTGTTATATGTTATAAATATTATACTACATGACTGCTTTGTAAATTTATCTAAGAGGGTTGTTTAAAAATTACGTGGACTGACGTCATAAAACAAAATGTACTTTATAAGTTGGATGTCCGACACCCCTTCAAAGTACTCTCCTCCCCAGCGCACACACTTATACCAACGGTGTTTCCACTTCTTTAAACTGTTCTGATACGCTTCTTTTGTAAAGTCCTTCAGCTCCTTCGTCGCATTTTAGTCCGTAATTTTGGGAATCGTCTCAAATCTCCTTTGTATCAAGGCTCTATTGAGTTCGGGGAACAAGATAAAGTCACAAGGAGAAAGGTCAGGTGAGTAGGGAGGGTAAAGAAGAACAGTGATTGAGTGTTTGACCAAAACTTCATTAGTTCTGAGAGCTGAATGGCTGGAGCGTTGTCACGATGGAAAAATCATACACCACTCTATATTTCTTGCCTACTGCGACGGATGGCGACCCTCAGACGTTGAAGAATACAAATTTTGGCTCACTGTGGAGTCTTCGGGGATATACTCGTAGTGAACAACATCCTTATCATAAAAGAACTGCCAGCAACACCTTGATCTTGGACCGAAGTTGGCAAGCTTTTCTGGGACTGGAAGACGTTTCACCTGTTCACATGAGACGATTAGATCTTTGTTTCGATTTCATAACCATAAACCCTGATTCATCATCGGTTATGATCCTTGGAAATAAGAATCTTCTTCTGAACGTTCAAACAGTTCCTAACAAAGCCGGATACATTGGGTATTTTGTTCCTCCGTCATCAGACGTGACACAAATTTCCCAGCAACGCGATGCATCTTCAATTTCTCAGTCAAACTCTCGTGACAAAATTCAACTGATAACCCACACTCTTAAGCAAGCCCTTTGACGGATGTCGATTTGTTTGCAGCAGGGTAGTGATTTTGTCGACGTGTGGGTCGTCAATTGACAGGGAAGGACGTCCAGAACAGTCTTCTTCATTGGACTGTCGACCATCTTTAAAAACGTTAATGCCACTTAAAACACGCCGTACGCTTCGTAGCAACATCACCATAATTCGTGTTGAGCACAGCAAGTTTCTGTCGCAGATTTCTTTTTTCATTTTAACACAAAATTTTACAGCTAGTCTTTGCTCTTTCAAGACATTCATTTTGAAATCCGCCAAACCAAAAAAACGTACTTCACTAAAAACCACGAAGGTAATAAACAAATGAAAGCATCACCAATCGCGAAATGGAGTCATAATGAGCAGATATGGGCAAACATCGCAACATCGAGCGTATTCCCCTGGAATCAATTGGAGTCGCGCAGTTCAAACAGTCCGCGTATTTTTTGAACAGGCTACGTAATTTTGAGAAAATGATTGATTACCGAGTGTGTTCTTCCTAGATGTTCATGCTAAAATAACTTCTTTTTGTTGATAAAGAAACAAATGGTTTCAGAATGCTTCAGATACTTGTATTTAATATTACAAAGCAAATTAAAAGCGCCGTATACATACATACAAAGGTGTGTTTCAGTTATATTATTAGTTTTATAAAATTAATTTATTTAAAATTATAACACGTTTACAATTAGTACGGTCAAATGATTCGACCTCGTGAGAAAAGGGCTCTGGGCAAATGCGACAATGGACGTGGACACTGAGGTTGTGGGTTTAAAACCCACGTTAGGCATAGATATTTCCAGTAGAGCGGACGGATTTCTAAGCCTTGTATCAGAACAATATTGTTCACGCACCGAAATGAGGTCAAGGAATTAATGAGCAAAAATGTAAAGCCAGTGGGCCGAGATAGATCCATGCGATTTTCTGGGTGTGCAAAGGTCCTCTTCACCACCTCCAGAGGAGCGATAGGTAATGAATAGAGCGTTCATTGTATTAGAACGAGATAATATGAAAATATCGCTAGTTAGATAATGTTGAGCATTCTGTAGCTACTACTGAGTTCTTGTATTTTATTTTAAGGTGGTTATTCTTTCTGAATCGCAAACGAATAGTTAGGACACATTGAATTTGCCAAAATTTATTTGCATTTTTTTACACAATTCTATAGCATCCCCACTGTTATATAAACAGGACAAAATTCGTTAAGTAGCAGCCATATTTCAGTCCACGCGGAATTCCATACATCGGCTTAGAAATTTATAAAATATCGTATTGTGAAAGATTTAAATATATTTTAACTTAGTATTCCACTCTCTGGGACAATAATAACTCTGGTCGGTGTACCGGTTCCATTTGATAGTTTTATGGGCATTGACAATACCCTAAATCCCCGATCTGAAACACACAACATTTTATATCACAATTTTCTGTAGAGGTAAGGTTTTATTTTGGTGATACCAATTATATTGTCATGCTTTACATTTGAAGTCAAAAGAAACTACTGTAGCAAATGCGAAATCATTATATTCATATTGGAATATAATATTGTAACCTTTAAAATGTTTACGATAAAACAAATTATGTATAAATCAAAAAAGAAGTGACTTACACAAGATATAACATTTCATTAATGGTACTATTTGACTACTTTTATTCTTATAATGTTCATATGACAACTATATGAACAAAAATCTATATTTTAGTGATATTAACTGCAAAGATCGTAATCAACCAAAAAATATTTTAAAGTTTGATTTCATGTCCTAGTCCTTTGTATTTTTAATAAAATGATTTATTTATTAAATATATACTTTATTAAATTAATTTGTATTAAAATGTTTTAAAAAATTTACAACTTTTTGTTATTAAATTAGTACAAATTAGTATAAAGCATGTTAATTTTCAAGTAAAAAAGTTGAAATAAATAATCAATTATACTTTTTGTTACATAATCCCATTCAATTTAACCATTATATTATATTATGCTAATATAAATTCACATATATGCATTTGTCGGTAACTGTTCTGTTCAACAGATATGTAGTTCCTGCCATTATCCAAATAGTTTAAAATATCATGCTTGTGCATTTTCTACTCAAAAACATTAAGGTAAGTCTTGTTCATAAGAGAAAACTGTCACCAACGAATTTATAAAGATATTTTAACGTAGTCTTAATTTATTTTACGTTAAATTGTTTTCGTACAATTTTTACTGTAATAAAAATGTTATACAGGCATTTAATGGAGGTAGATTTGTTTTTAATTTATAATAAAACTTGATTCCTAAAATATGTCGAAAGAATATATTCATTTAATACATAAAATATAATACATAAAAAAATATCCGTAGAGAGTTCCCACCTGGGATGCATGGTTTGTCCATATCAACATCTTCCAGTAGGTATATGTTTTTGGCAGTTAGCGTTTGATGGGCTATTCCCTCATCTGAAGCATCAATTGAAATCGTATCCACTCCAACACCGACCACTTCTGGCATCGAAGCCAGTTTAGTAGCAGTTTCAGCAGACATACCTGTAGAAAGTGTTTTAATGTTGATTATATTTCAAGACCATTATCTGGGTATTATAGAACATACAGTTTTGGCAATGTTGGTCAATGAAATACAAGTAAAATGCCATTCTAAAGTTTTGACTTCCGATTGCAAAGAGAATATAAGAATACAAATAGATCCTTTAAGTACATACTACGTGCTGATCCAAATGTAAAATATCATGAGCATCGAAAGTTTTATCCTATACACTTGATCTAAAATTAACAAAATGACCACAGAGCAGTACAAATCGCACCCCCAGTGGAAGACTGTCGTAAGTCCGAAAAAATGAATTTGGAGTTATTTGGTGGCTGTTATTGAAGTCCGTGTTCTGAAAATATGCCACAGCTCCACTCGTAAAGATGACGACTCTTTAACAAGTAATGCAGTTTTCTTCTCGCGCCATTTTGAACAATTCAAATAATAGAAGACTGTAATATAACTGCGTGCAGTACAATCATACAAAGTGTAAGAAGACTGTAAATCCATAATTTATAATTGAATTATCACTTATTTGAATGCAGATATTTTTTTTGCTTTGAAATATCATTCATTCTTGAATATAGAACTGCTGATGGTTAAGAGTTCCAATACATCAACACTAGGCATCAATGCAGAGATCTTTCTCACACAGGATACTTGAATTTGCATAAGGTTTATAAGAAACGTCCTGGCATAACAGTGTCCAAGAAGAACTTAAGTGATGCTAAAGACATTAGCTCCCAGTTTCGGAACTATTATAGAAATGTCATTACAGAAAACTCAAACGATTGTGAAACATTGCAACATGGCACTGGTCTTCTACGTGGAGTCGACATAAAAATTGTTTAATTGAAAAACGTTGTTACTAACTTGGTTTCTGTAATTAAGTCAGTTTATTTATTTAAAGTTAAATGAAGATTTACAAATGCAGTCACTAAAATAATGGAAATGGTGAAAATTTGTGTTCACCATATACGCAATAACTCCCTATCATTTCAACAAATACAGAGTAGACGCCGCCATAACTCAAAACATTACACCTTTCACACATTCATCATCTGACATCGAAGCAAAGAACGCTTAAGGGATTTTTGGGCCCCCGAAGCAAGAAAGAAACAACAAACACCTCAAAAATACAAAAATAAGAATCTCTAAAATGTACAATAATAATCCAATGACTTATGATGTAGTCCCGTTGAAGAACAGAGCAAAAGTTATTTTCAAGTCACAAATATTAATATGAATAACATCGCTAGATTGGAAAAGATTTACCGTTTCACATAATTTAAAATTAAGAATAAATATAAAATCACACAATACCTCCAAAATGATTAAATACATTAAACATGAAAACACGTAAATTAGTGCTATCTCTCGCCACCATAAACTACGGAAAAAAGTTTCAGAACAAAAAAATCCCAATATTGTGCTATGATTCTAAAAACTGGCATGATTCTAAAAACCCCGAACTAAATTTTGTTTTACATCCGCATATACTTTCATTCAAAATCCCAAGTTTGTTCCTTCATAAGTGTCCGCTAAAAATCGATTAAGTTCTATTTCTTCCACCCAAGAGCACATATTAAATTTCCATTTCCTCAATCTTCTTCTCCTTTTGCCACGAATTCCTTCCAAATATCTAATTTACACTCCAAATTTTCAAAACTTTTAACCGAATCCCGTCTTTCAGCAGTTTATTTATGGACGATTAAATCGATTCGGGAGATGTAATAAAATAATCCTTCGAGGGAGTACTTATCGTAATCTTATGGATCGGAGTCCTCCTTCACTGCGATGTCACCTCCAATCAAGGTCTCACAGGCCGCTTGTGCCGGCGGCTTCCGTTCCAGCGTCGAAAAGTAGCCGTAAAATGCGTGAGCGCTCTGGCGCGCTGCTTGAGGCCGCAGATCCAAGGCTCAAAACCTCGCTAGCGGTGCCGGCCGACCGTGGTCGGTTGCTCGAAATTCAAAGTTACCCGTTACGTAATCCACGGTCCGATCACCACAAAATCTTCTATCTCACACTGTCAGCACCGAGGCTGCTGTCTGTTATTTTTAGTGTTCCAGCAATCACTACTTTCATCACAACTTCATCACTACTTTCATCACTACTTTCATCACTACTTTCATCACTACTTTCATCACTACTTTCATCACTTCTTTCATCACTGCTTTCATCACTGCTTTCATCACTGCTTTCATCACTGCTTCATCACTACTCTTACTATCATCACTACTTTCACTTTCAGCTTTGTCGGTTTTGGAAATACATTGCTTCACGCAATCACCATTCAATAAATCCACTTCCCGCGTGCACTACCATGCCTTGCGACCTTTCGCTAATCTCTCCTCACACCGTGACGTCTTGCGTACGTATCACAGTATAACCGTCTCTCCTGGCGTTTCTTTATCTACTACCCCTTCGCTGCCGCCCCACCATCGCAAACTCCCTGGACGACACCACCTTTTATCAGAGTTCCGTGCTCAGATAGAAGAATACTCACGCCAGATGCGCGATTTTTGAATGCACAATTCGGTGCAAAAATCCCTAATGGTCATCCAGACATGGATGGGGCATTATATCACACACACAAACACACACAGTAGAATTTTTTAAACGAAATTCTACTTCTAGTTAATTTCGCATTTCACTTTGATTCTATCTAGACACAATTTGATTCAATCTCTTCCTTAATTGTGCATCATCGTTTTTTTTTATTTTCTCTGAACGAACTAACTCGGTGTTATTCCATATTTAATGAGAAAAAATCCTCACTCCTAACACAAGGAAAGAGAGAGCTGAACATGATATGCGCCTCGTAAAGCTACATTTATGAACGCCCAGAAGCTAAGGAACAGACCAACTCAGAAATACGTCAATGGATTTTTTTTTATTTGTTGCGTCTTGAATTGCCGCAACGCGTCTTCAAGCCCCGCGGGGCGTTGAGCGCTTTGCGTTTTGAGAGCAATCCTCCATTAATATCAGCGCGGGAGTCTGGAGTAATCCTCCATTAACATATCCGTCACGTCTCGTCGCAGTCAGTTGTCAAGAGGACCGCCAAGTGGCATCCGCGTACGTGTCCCTGCGTCACTACTCAGCGGCCAGAATTGGGAAGGAATTAGGATTGGGGTAGGGTTTAGGACACTTCACAGGGGTTGGACTAGCCCCTGTGAAGCACGCAAACTCGTTTTGTCGTAACAAATTTCACATGGGTTCTACAGGGATTTTACGGGAATTGAACCCAGAACCTCAGTGGTGTGCAGAAAGGCAAGCGACTTCGTCATTGAGGCACGAGAGTATTGCATTGGATCAATGATAACTAGACAAAAAAAATTCTAAATGAGGATAACTGGCTCAGAAGCTGAAGTACATTACAGGACAGGATATTTACTCCTTTGGAAATAGTATACAAAAATAGTAAGTAGTAAATTTATATTATGAAAATAAAACTCTTTTTTTTATTTTTTCGATTTCATTATTAATCTAATAGTACAACACCGTTACGACGAATAATTGATGTTGGCAAATGGCGGGGCCAAATTAATTCAAATTTGGCGCCACTGAGGCGCCACTGTTTCGGACACCTCAGCTTCGCTACTCTTTGAAGACATTTAACAAGAAAATATCATAGATTTAAAATTACCCTCTTTATTTAATTTTGACCCAAAAACCCGCGAATTCTCTCACAAACAGCAGAAATTCATTTGAGATGAAAGTTCTTTTCAACGGATGTTCTACTTGTTCCAAAAATGACCAATAGATTGCACGACCTCCTGGCCTGCCAGCGACGAAGTTGGCACATATTGTCGATCTTCACGGAACTCATTTTGTTCTCACATAAGACGCGACGAGATCGCATTGTTTAAGAATTTGGTGCCGCGAGGAGTTTCGTAGCAATCGTGCAGTGAAGTTAAGTAATAAGTGTTTCGGGCGTACGGAATTTTTCGTTCGGTACGTAGGCAAGCAACTCCCAGCACATTAATGCAGACTCTGTGACACTCAAACACCCTGAAACGCGACAAGAAAGTAGCTTGCACAAATACCATGCGTAATATTCGAAAGAAAAAGTGTAATTTTATCCAAAGTTAACCATGAAAATCAATAAAATATGTGTCGTTTTTTCAGAATTTTCTCGTCTGATGAGAACACAGAAGGCGATGTACAGAACTTGTCTTTCTCAGTTTCTTCAATTGCTCTTTCAAACATCTAAGAATTATTTCGCATTCTCAACATATGTATCTTAGAAACATAAAATGACCAATTACCTGGAAAAAGCATTTTGAAGAATTTATCTGAAGTTGTGCCTAAAAAAGCAGTGCGGTTGGAATACAATTGAGCCCAACCGTAGCTAATGAGCACCATGATCGCCATGTTGCCATTTATCCATTGGATCGATGTGGTGAAGGCTTCTAGTACTGAAGGAGAACCTTGTTGTTCTCTGCAGAGAAATTCTTTAATACCTCTGTCAGCAAAAGAGTAATTTAGATACGTAGAGATTGTTCAACTAGAAGTTTGGAACGAATCAAACAATGAACTTGAATGGGAAAAAGAGCCTAGTGTACGGTAAAGTTAGTTCCAAAATCCAATTTTGATTCAATTAAGGAAGCAGTTACACCAAACGTCCTATTAACCATTAACGAAAATTCGGAGAAAACATCTCCATTAGCAGACCAGAAAAGGTAGTTTTACTCAAATATTATCTAATGAAATGACTAGGTCGTTAATTAAGAGCTCTCCGCGCTCAAGATACTATTGTGGTATCATTTTGGTCGTCAGAGAGTGACTTTTTTACCAGAAAGTTTTTCGCTCTGACGAGCGCTCTTTAGCCCACGTTGGCAACACTGGATTTGTTGAAACACAACTAAAAGGCTAAGTCGTCTTCCAATCTTTAATTTTCAAAATAAATTATATTTGTTCAATGCATTAAAAGGTAGCATAGAAACATTTTTTACCGTTAGAAATAAGTCTTTCTACTGGTATCTCATCCACAGTCCATC